GCGGCGAATGGTACGAACACGATCTTACTTGCGCGTAGCAGGCGTGGCTACTGCCCTTGAGCTCCGCCAAAGATCAGCACACGAAGTTACGACGTCGTCAGTCAGCTGCTTGGACATCACTTTGCGAAATGTTGAATGATGGCACGACCACCAATCCCTCCACTTTCGCACTTAATCGAAACAATCGCCAAAATCCGGATGTCGACCTCGGGCATGTCCTTTGTACCACGTTTTTGGCTATACGTCGATCCAGGAGCTTTGCGAGAGTACGTTCCCAAGCCTAACGTGCCAAGCACATGGGTGTCGGAGGTGTGTTGACCTGCTTTGATCACATAGATACTGAAGGATTTCATGGATCTGCAGAGGCCACTGCAAGGGACAGTTGAAAGTACGGAGTATCTCGGTCGACAAGGCGATCGCGTGCATTTCTGAGCACCGCGTACCGTGCGAATCGGTGCTTCTTGACGCACGATTCTCGTGAAGGACCCAAGAAAAACGCAAGCTGGGATCGTCGTGTCGAAAACCGATACTCCCAAGACGCTCACAGGATCCGAGATGGCGCCCAGGAGGTCGCAAAGACGGGAGCAGCGACGGGCAGCTTGAACCACACAACACCAAGTACCACCAGTTCACGGTGAGGCCAATGACAATGACGTTCGTCCAGCAACAATCGCCTAGGACGATTCACAGCGTATGCTTCGATACATGGACAAGGATGAAGCCTGTGCTCTCGTGAGCCACGCAGCCTTGATTGCACCAACGATCACAATCACTGAACTTCGAGTCAGTACCACTGTTATAGTCTGCGGCTGTCTACAGGCTGGCGGTTTTTCGTCAGAGTGTGGCTTGTATTTACGGTCCTAGACACGCGATGCAGCTGATCACGTGCCACACAGTGTGAGCTCACAGTGCGCTGCACTCGGATTCGGCACGAATCACAGCTCACAACTCATTTCTCATCCAAAGCCACAACCATGGTCGCACTCTCGGCCCTCGGCACATTCCTACTTGCCGCCAACCTCACATCCTTTGACCCAGCGACTGCTCGTCCCAGTGACGACGACTTCACGAACCGCGACAAGATCATCTTTGCCGTCCGTGCTGATTTAAAGGGCGGCCGATTTGCGTCTGCCAAGCCTGTGTCCAACGTCACGTTTCCCGTCGCCGACGTCGCGTCGACTGTGTACATCTCGCAGGAGAGCTACATGCGCGCCATCGACACTGCCAAGCCCGACAACACCACGCGCAACTTTGTCAGCTCGCTCCTCTATGCTCGTAGCGGCGTGCCTCGCGTGTGCGCCCACAGCATTTACGGCACAACGATTCTAAACACATCGACCGAGTACCAGTTCGCAGACAAGACCTCGACGATCAAGCCGCTTGCAGCCAAACTCGCCACGACCACGTCGACGACGACGGAGCTCGTCGGGTCTCGCTCGTTAAGCCAGCTTGTGTTTCGCATCGAGTCGGGCTGCTTGGGCTATGCGACATTTGCGTGCAACTTGGACGACGCGTCCGGCACTGTTTCGCTTCGCATTGGCGTGGCGCTCGCCGAGTACGTGGAATTGAACCCGGCGTCCTTCATGGCGTTGTGCAGTGGCCAATACAACGTTCGCCCGATTCGAATCAACCCCAACTACAACATTGCGTTTACAGTACCGACGGGCAACTGGGCGACACAGTCGATCGCGGACGATGCCAAGATCTTCTTTCGCTACAATGCGCCAGCGGTGACGACGCCACCCGCGAGAACGACGGCAGCGACAAGCACGGTGCCACTGACAACGACGACGAGTAGCAGTCCGACGGAGCGCCCAGTGACGACGGTACCCGCTGCGACATCGGCCACCACTCTCGTGTCACTCGCCACGAGCGTCATTGGCCTTGGCGCGACCTTTCTCGTTCTCTAACAGTAGCATCGCTGTTTCGTCGTAGTCAATCTCGTCAACGCTGTCATATTTTCGTTGCAGTAGGCGATACCCTGTCAAATTGTCGTCTTTGAACTAACCGTGGTTTGTGCAGTTGAGGGCGTGTCGCTGTGGCATCCACGCGCTGTAGAGGAGCTCTTGACGTTGACATCGCTCGAAACATGCATGTTGTGTCCTTGTTGCAATGTTGTGTACTTTGTTAATGTCAATAGCAATGAATGCTTGATAGTTTTTCAGTGCTTGTCCATTCGCTTGAATTGAGATCCGCCGTTAACCTCGCCTGTGTGCGCTCTGGCTGTAGACCACCGATTTGCATCGCTGAAATTTACATTCTGGCTGAATAAAGGACAACAATTGGTCTCTCCAACAACATACTTCAACGCTCGACATGTATTAGACAATATAGAACAAGAGAGACGCGACTACACCCATGGAGAGCGCCAAGGTTGAAGCGGCCGACGGAGTAGGCGTTGCCGTCGCTGGTTGCTGCGTGGTACTTGTGGGGTTGGTCGTTGTTGTTGCCGGACGCGTCGTTCTCCAAAGTGGCTCTGTGTACGTGAAAAAGAGCTTGTCGTCGTCCGCGATCGCTTGCCGTTCCCACGCTCCATTGGGCACGGTGAACGCAACGTTGACGTCCGGGTCAATCTTGCTGGGGTACACCGAGTCGCCGCACTGCTCCATGGTCGAGGACGGGTGCAGGCTCACGTACTCTCGTCGCGTAAAGCCGAGGCGGAACGAGACGGTGTCCGTATTTTCTTCCAAATTGCACTTCAGCGCCACAAAATCCAAGCAACCATCGTGAACGCGGGCGACCACCTGGCTGAACTCGTGCGATTGGAGCGCTGCCCGGCTCGACAATGGAACATCGGGCTTCGTCTGGTAGTTATGGATCGTCGATACCCCGTCAGAGTACTGGAGCTCGACCGACGCATTGAGCTTGGAGGCACTGCCCACCATGACATCGCAGACGCGCGATCCGCCGGTGTAGCTGAAGACGAGTGCGTAAACAAAGTTTGCCGTGGCCTTGGGAGGCTTGACAGCGTCCACCGCTTTCGACACACTGTCGAACGACACGAATACGGTTGACGCGGGGTCGGCGACGGGGAACGTGACGTTGACGACGGGCTTGGCAGACGCAAATCGACCGCCCGACATGTCGGCGCGGACGGCGTAGGTCATGTTCTCCATGTCTTTGGCACTGGAACGGTCGGTGGTTGGGTCGAAGGACGTGAGGTTGGCAGCGAGAAGGAGCGCACCGAGGGCCGAGAGGGCGACCATCGTGTGGGAGCGATGTGTAAAATTGAGTTGTGGCTCTGGTTGCCACAATGCCGCTGTGAATCCAACCAAAGAGTAGTACAGTTTTGGAGATAGACGCCATCGTGGTTGCGTCGTGGTGGGTATGCTGCCTGAGACCTCAAGTCTCGGCGGCGGTGTGCGAGACATGTGTTCCACCTAGATTCATTTGTTGAGCAAAGTGCAGCTGAGGCAATAAGAAAGGCACAGGCAGATGTCGATGTATCCTATCTATTCCTTCGACAACGGATATTGCATTTGTGGTCGTTTGCTAGTCTATGCCGTCCGCACCAACGTGGCTGGCGGGCGGTCAACTGCACGTTTCCCGTTGCTGACACAGTATGTCGACGTGTATTTGTCGTTCGAGAGCGATATGCGCTACCAAAGTCTGCGACGTCACACGCATTTTGATTATGTTACTGCAGTACGCGCTCACGTACAGTTTTACCCAAGCGCCTTGCATGTGCCTTCCATCAACTCTCATTTACGGCGCGACCGCCCTCGACACGTCAGTCGAATTTCCGATTTTATGAAGCTCGTCAGGAGCATGAGCCACCAGCGCGGCACGGTGTCACCAGAACAGGAAAAGGTCGCCTTCTTCAACGACATGCCCACTTCTGTCCGGATGCAATGGAATCCGGATAAAGATCCAACTCAAATATCTCTCTCAAAGACACTCACCTCGGAAAGAACGCGTTTGTGAGCGAGCGACACTGCCCAGCCTGACATCTCATGTGTCGCATTGTCGTGAGGGTGGTCGAACTTTCTCCTGGCTCAATTATTCGTCTCGAAATGCCCGCAACAGCTTTGAATGTTGCGATCTAGCGATCTAGAGGCTTATAATGTACAACTGCAATTGCCCGGCTGCCGAGTTGTCGCAGTGGTTTGGCTGCTAGGGGCGGCCCAAAGAAACCATCCCGTAAAGTCGTCATACCGTATCTATGCTCGCGCGTGCTCCACATCACCTGGCTAACTTACAACAACCGAGTATTTCGTGCCTGACGTTTGCACTGACATTTTCACAAAGTTCGACGTCGAGACCTTGCTGCTGTCGCTTCCAAAGCGAACTATCTACGCCTTCCGTAGTTTATATACGCGACAGAAAATCAATCAACTGGGCGCGGCACATGCAGTGTCCATTGCGCCAGGTCGCCTTGTCGAAACTGGATACTTGCCGTGGTACACGTCAAACACAAGTTTATTCCGTGCGCAC